CAGAACCTTCTAACTTTTGAAATTCTCAAAATTTTCATCCTTCGTCTTCTGGATGAATACCCATAACTTTCTAGAATAATCATCAATGATGGATAGAAAATACCTTGCACCTGAGTGTGAAGGATTTCTTGCAGGCCCTTAAAGATCAGCATGAATGTAATCCAGGGATCCACGTGTTCTTTGATTGCCTTTGTTAAACTTCGCCCTACAGAATTTACCAAATACACAAGATTCACAAAACTCCAACTTTTCGACTTTGTCACCTCCAAGCAGGTTCTGCTTCCCCAATTCGACCAAGCCTATTTCGCTGACATGGCCCAATCTCATGTACCATAATTTTGTCTTCGACACAAGTTTCATGGATGCAACATTTGTCGAACCACTTACAACCTCAGCCTCAAGGGTACACAAGCCTTATTTCTTCACGCCTCTCAAGACTTTCTTCGACCCCTTCATGACTCTTAGGGTACTTTTCTCTCCTTGAAAAACATATCCCTTCCCGTCGAATTCACCAAGAGAAAACAAATTTCTCTTCAAATCAGGTACATACCTGACTTCAGTAAATAACCTTATTGACTCATCATGGAGCTTGAATCTCACATAACCAATACCTGCAATTTTGCAAGATTTGTTGTTTTCCAACAGCACTGATCCACCATTTTGATCACATAGCTCCTCGAACAATTATCTATTTGGAGTCATGTGCCAAGTGCAACCTGAATCCATAATCCATTATTTTCTTGAGTCGCCACTTGAAACCACAAGAATATTAGATGAGTCGAAGTCATCTTGAACCATGAATGCATTATCATTATCCTTACCTCCATGGTCTTTCAGGCGTTCAGGGCACACCTTTCTTTTGTGACCCTCCTTCTTACAGTGATAACATCGAATACTAGATATTTCGCCACTATAAGACTTCTGCTGACTTTTACCTTTCTTTTTGTCGAACTTACCATCCTTTCACAAGAATTTTTCCTTAACGACCAAACCTTCACCCACCGTCGAAGGTTTATGCTCCTTTCGTTCGTTCAAATCCTTAGAACACAAGGCTGATTGAACTTCTTCAAAGCTCATGAACACTCTTTCATACAGGAGAGTTTCTTTGAAGTGAGCATGTGTTCTGGGCAAAGCACACAACAGAAACAGTGCTTAATCTTCATCATCGATCTTCACATCAATATTTTCAAGATCAAGAATCAGCTTGTTGAACATATCTAACTACTTAGCTAACACTTTGTCTTCACTCATCTTGAATGAATACAAAGGTTTCTTCAAGTAGAATCGGTTCACCAGAGATTTGATCATGTACAAACTTTCAAGTTTCACCCATAATCCCGATGATGTAGTCTCCTTTGATACCTGTCGAATAACCTTATCACCAAAGCTCAACAATATTGCGCTGCGGGCTTTCTCAATCATGGTCGTCTTTTCTTTTTCCATTAACGCAGTATCCACGACTGCCTCTCCCTTCAACGCTTCCAAACAACCCTGTTGAACCAGTAGGACTTTCATATTCAAGCGCCACAGGCCGAAGTTGTTCGCTCCGGTGAACTTTTCAATCTCATACTTTGTTGAAGGCATTTTCTCCACGCTCACCGCACCAATTTTTTGTGAGTAGGATGTATTGAAACAAAATATAAACGGTTTCTTTATAGACAAGAAACACACAAGGGTTAGGGTTAACAAAAAAAAAAGGTAAAACAACAAGGATTGGTTACAAACTGTTATTCTTTCCTTTCTCTTCGAACAAGATTACAAGTATAAAAGAATAACAAATAACATCTCTCACTTGAATTAGGATTTTATCTTCCTATTTTTTCTTGTCCAAGATGAGAGACTAGCATGCTATTTATAAGAAAGTTAGCACACTAACCTAATAAACTTTTTAATGATTACCCATTACAAGCTAACTTAGGGTACAAACTAACTTAAACAATTGGGCTTACAAGAAAGACCTAATTCAACATGCTAACAAACCTAGCAATATTGACTAATGCATGTTAGAACAAACTTCAACTACAACACGCATTACTCGCGAATAGACTTCGACTATACTAGAGTTCGATCCAATATATCACACATATAATAAAAAGACTATAACATAGATATAATATGTATTAATTTTGGGTTTGATACCAATGGATAGATTAATTGAATAGATAAAAATTATAGCATATTGTTATATTAAAGAATAATCAACAATATAAGAAGAGTGTACCTTGTAAGATTTGTGAGACAGAAGAGTGAGTATGAGAGAATTACTATCCTCATTGTTATTTAGAATTTTCAAAGTATGTTGATTGTTTCAAGCACAAAATTTAATACAACAATTCATCTATTTAATATTTAATAACAATATACCATAATATAATTAAGGGTAATACTAATTTGTGTCTCAAGGGCACAACTTAACAGATAAATATAGAAAATATTTTTTAAAAATTGTGTATTAAATTTATTTGAAACTTACAATTAATAATTTAATTGATTTTTCCAAAATAAATTTTCTATTTATAAATTTCTTAACTTGTGTCAGGATACAAATTAGCATTATCCTATAATTAATTATATTAATTATTAATTAAATAATTAATCTAACACCATAAACTAGTGCCGAACACGATGAACTAGTGCCGAACACCCATTGTCTCTGATATAAATGATAGTTCCCATATGTCATCCCAATAACACTAGTTACCGTTAAAAAGTACAACAACATTTATAATAATTTCAAACACATTTACGTTATATTTAAAACATAATCACTAAGTCTTGTCTCTTCTAAAGTAAACCATTCAATAACAAACTAAATGAGAGAATTTTTCATTCTTTATTCTACTTAAATATATTACACACGTAATTACATAATTTGGGTCTAATACATACATTAATAATGAATTGGTGGTCTACTATCACCTTCTTCCTAATAGGGTTTAATAGTTTTTAGTAGCATGCTTAGCCTGGGATTTTTTCTTACTTGCAGTATTTTTGAAAACTGCTATAATTGTTAGTCGAGTGTTCTTTATTCTTTACCAATCATTTTGTCTTTTGTTAATGGAAGACTTCCAAACACTTATTTCTTGTTAGTTGAGGTTTCCAAACTTTTAATTAAAATTGGTATATTGCCTATCATGTTCACATTTCAAGTTATCCTATCTTGGTTTAATTATGCACAAAGATTAAGCTTACTTTGAATTGGTAGTTTTGGGATTATCATAGTGCTTATTGTAAGTAAACTATAATGAGTTGCACCTTAGAGCTGAAGTTAAAGCTATGGGATTGGCATAAATTTTATATTAATAATGCAGAACAAGGTGCCGTGGCTAAAGTAAGGGAATTTAATTTATTTATTTCTGTTACTGTTTATGTTCTTTAAATGTCTCCTATTGTATTTGTAGGCTTCTGAATAATTTTGCTCTATATCTGACCCCCCTTTATTATCTCTATATTGGTCTTAATATTTTAAAAAGTAATTTATTGGGGCATAATTTGGATAAAATCATTATTACTTCTCAAGTGAAAAGAATATATAATATACTCAATTGGACAAATAGTAGTGTGAAGCAACAAGGAGTAGAAATTCTGAAAAATATTTTAAGAGGCAAAAGCATAATGAAGAAGACGTGAGAAATCAATATCCTTCTTTAAGTTATTGAATGTCCTAAGATGCTTCAAACTTTGCTTTAACAAAGGTCACTGCTGTCTCACCAAACAGATTAGCCTTTTGATGATGCAAGCAATCAAACTAAAATAGGTATAAAAATATATTTAAAAAAAACAAAGAGGAGACCACCGACACCTGGTTTATTCAAAACTTAGGATATGAAAGTGCAACCATCCAAACAAACGGCAGGACAAAACACACCTGCTCTGCCAGCTAACTGGTGATTATTATAAGCGACAAGAAGATTTGAAAAGGGAAAAAAATATATTGATCATCAAGATGTTAAGATATTAAAATGATACAATGTGTGGTGAATTTAAAATCAAGGTCAAGGTGGGGTTTTGATTTGCCATACTGATGTAACTCAAACCTTCATTTGGTAGCATGCAAGCGGGTGAACCGCTTCTCAAGGACAAACATGGGTAGGGACCTACAGGCAACAGCATCATCATCCCACTCATATGAAACACCATAAACACATCACAATAATATCTTCTTACAACAATTTTACATTTTTAATCAGACCAGATACTAAGATACTATTATACATGCAATATCTGATCTTTCAGTAGCTGGATGAAAAAAATGGAATCTGAGGATGAAAATATGTGTACTTTTGCTGAGAAACAGTGAATTGTCAAAAACAGCACACTTCAGTTGAGAGTTACATACTTTCAGTTCAAACAGACAGATGAAGCTGACTTACTACTGGCTTGCAGTTATGCAAGCAATCATCAGATTAAAATACACAAAACTCATTCTCCAATTTAACCAAAAGGAGCTATGGATACAGACATAATCCAAATAGCAGTGTAGTACAAAGCTACTAGCTCTGCACTTTCACAACAAGTAGGAAGAAGATAAAACATACAGTGATAAAATCAGAAACCCTTTTGCCAAAACTAGGGTCATCATCTATACTAAGGAAATTTAAAAACCTAATCACAACCCAAAACTCAAAGACAACCGTGCCTGTGTTTGGTACTGGGTTGGGTAAACATGCACCATGCATGCAGTTGAAGCATTACTTATCTTCAAAGCTATCACGCAGTGACGCCACGCCGGATTCGGTGAAATCCAAACCTACGCCATGTAACTCCAGGAAACACACAAATTGAAACAAGGGAAAGCAAAATGCCAAACCTAGCTATATTCATGCATCTAAAGGTCAGTCTATAGTCTTTTAGATTACTAACTTCTTCTAACTTCAATAAACATCCTTCCAAGAATGTTTGCCACACTGTACAAACCAGACAGACCACTATATACACAATAATCAATTACATTGTATAATTACCTTCCTAACTAATAACTCAAATGCGCAATTACTTCTCTAAGAAGTTGAAGTTGATGCTTCTTGTCTTGATTCTCTCAAATATCGAAGCAGTGTCTCAGCCTGCAGAACAAACATAAGACTTAATGAATACAGGTCTGTTATTCTACAAAAATCGCTAAATGCAATGATAGAAAAAAAAAAAATAACAAGTATCATTGAAAATTAATTTCATCACAAGCATAACAATTCCTAAAGAGAGAATCAAAGTTTAATCACTTCAATTTCTCTTTCCGCAACGTCAATCAGAATGCTCTATTCATTGACTCAAAACTGTTTTATAGATTACTACATAATAATATGATCCCAAATATTGCTACTTACAGAAACCTTGTCTGAGCAAACTAACTAACTAACATTCAAACATTGGCAAATAATAGAAAACCCTTTTATTGCCAAGGTTTGATACAGCTTTTCAATGTGTATGATATGTACTTAAGGGGAAAAACAGAACATAGTCAATAGATTTCAACATTAGAATAAAAGGTCAAATGCACAAAGTCAAGATACCAGAATAACAGGGTCATAATATTAATAAATTAATATACATATGAAGACAATTTATTCCTAAAGTATGAAGCAAAGTACAGAGATTGAAATCTACCTTATGCTTAGCTCGAGGAGTTCCATTCTGGGAAAGAGCTACAAGGGGAGGAATCCCACCCTCTCTAACAAGTAACCCTCTGTTTGTAACATTGTCGGCACAAAGCTGGAGAAGAGTTAAAACAGCAAATTCTTTTCCTTTCACAGACCCATCTTCAATGGCTTCCACAAGTGCCGCTATTCCACCTTCTTCCACAATGGCTTCCTTCCCTTCTTCAATCCCCGCTAAGCTATTCAACACCACCATTGCTTTCTCCATCATACCATTCCCTTGCTCCGCCACCAGCTCCACAAGCGGCTTCACCACGCCAGCACTCACCGCTCTCTCCTTGTTCTGCTTAACAGAACAAAGCTTGTACAGCGTCGTCAGAGCGTCTTTCTTCCCTCTGTTGGAACCATTCAGCAGAAGCGAAACCAATGGCGGAATCGCACCTGAAGCACCGATTGAGCTCTTATTCTCTTCCACCAAAGCTAAGCTCAGAAGCGCACAGGCCGCGTTCTGCTTCGAAGTTTCCGTCCCTGTTTTCAACACATAAATCAACGATTTCACAGCTCCTGCATTGAATATCAGCTTTTTGTTATCCTCGTGAAGTGATAGATTCAAAAGCGCTGTTACTGCGTGTTCTTGCGTCCATGGATCAGTACATCGAAGCAGAGGAACCAGAAAAGGCACCGCACCGGACTCACCAATCAGAACTCTATTATCAGCCCTATTCTTAGCAAGCAGCCTCAGTTTCGCGGCTGCCGAACGTTTCACCGCCACCGACGAAGACTGTAAACCATCAATACAAAGCTTCACCGTCGGCTGAAGATCCTCCGGCGAAATACTCTCAATAATCTCCGTCGAGAAATTCTCCCTCTGCAAAAACCCCATGCAAGGCTCTGGCTCAACTTCCTCCTCACCAACACCTCCACCATCACTCTTCAGATTACACTCCGGCGACGGCAGAGTCGCCAACCGCTGAAGCTCACCGGAAATATCACTACTACAAGCAGAATACTCACTGAAAGCCTGTGAAAGATCAAGAAGGTCCTGCTCAGTCGTAGACGACCTACCGGATTTAATATTCCGGGAAGCAAGCTCACCGAGACGGAGGTCGACGACGGAATCGGTTAAATTCTCCGATACACACGTTGATCTCTCGGTAAACGTGCAACTACTGTTATCTTCATCAAAGATGCTAGATCTTCTTGTACGCATGGATCTTCCAATATTCCGCTGCGATTTTGAGGAAACAGATGAATGATTATGAAACTGATAGCTTCGCGGTAAAGGAAAACGATTCGAATTCGAGCGAGATTCTTCAAGAGAAACCATTCTCGAAGCTTCGAGGTTCACGAATTTGTTATTAGGGTTTGTATTCTGAGTTTGAAACGTTTTATTTATTTCATAGTGTGAGTGAAGAAGAAGAAGAAAAGAAGATGAAGAATAATAACTGAATTTAATGTATTATTTTAATTTATGTGAATTGAAATTAAAAGGCTGGTTTTTGCTGTGAGTAGTGGCGTTGATATATTCACTTGGCGTTTAGATTTGTAGTGGTGACGACCGGTGGTGATAAGGTGGGACCAGTTTTGGGAGACAGAATCGACGGTCAGAGATTTTGATTGAGGCGATGGTACCATCGTCGACGTCAGGGTTAAACCGTCGTCGTTTTGTTCAACTTTATTTACAGTGTGCGGGAAATGACTGAAATGTCTTGGTTTTTTGTGTCATTTTGTTACTACTGCACCAGTGGCTTTGTGTGGGGACGTAAGCATAGGAAGATTCTGGTGTAAAGGAGCTGTAGAGAAAGACTCACTTACAGTTGTCAAGAGTGAACTATGAATAAATGGCACGTGTTGGAATCATCAATGTGTATTAACCGTCTTTGTTTGTTTTTTTCTAGTATTACTTAATTCCAAACCAAGCATAAAAATTGTTATGGTTAGCAAAATACCATTACAAATTAGTTTCATAGTCAAAATTCACTAAACCCAAACATAGAAACATCAAAGTTTCTTAGTGTTTATAATATGAGATAATATCCATGGTAGAGTATTTTTTATATAAGGAATTTAATATGTTCGTGTAAGTTGTTCATAGTGAAAAATTTAAGAAAAAACTCTTATCCTATTATACTACGTCGTGTGGTTTAATGTCTATTTAAAGTATAAGTTGGTGGTATTTTAGAATGGTTTTGATTTTTTCACGACATTGACATTGAGTCTTTAACTATTACATTTATGAAGTAGGAGAGATAGTACATAAAAACTCATTTGTTAGTGAAGGTAAGCACCAAAGAGGAGAGACATAATATCTTTGATAATAGAATTGAAGACTTTTTCCTTTTTCGCCTTTATTATTATAATTTGGGTATTCTCGATGTTTTTACTTGTCTTTCTTCTTACAAATAAGATGAGATGTTATAAATTGATGTTCTCAATGAGGAGGGCGTCCAAAAAATAATCCTTACGTTTTAAGGTTGTGACCGCACTGACTCTAAAGGATCCAGAGGAGGCTCACTCCTTGGGCAACCTTGCTGCTTTAACCTTTCCAAGCCTACCTTATGTAGAGCAGTCGAATATGCGAGGCTCTTCTATCCGATCTTCATGCGAGGATGTTTTGAGGTCGTTTTCAAGAGTAATAGATGAAGGTTCACGGATAAGTGATGTTGATGGAGTTCCTTCGGCTGTTGAGCCTATTTTCAAAAAAGACCTCATAACATGGAGCCGAATTCAGAAAGGTGAGATCATCGGGAAAGCTCGCTACCGAACCAGGTGAACTTGTCCTCGTTATTACTTGCTCGTTCTGGTCCTCGAACAACTGTGAAGCTTCAATCTTTCATCTCTAAAAAGGACTACGTGTATTTCACAAGTAAGCCCTAAGTTGTTTGTCAATAATAGATGAATGAACAGTTGTATCAAACGTGCAAGGTATATGGTATCTTGACTTTCGGAACTGTAGGTAAAATTGAAGTCATAATGAAAATGATATAGTCGTTCATTTATTTTTCCAGACGATGTCTCCTTAGCGATGGATTTATTCTCAACGGAGTCTCTTAGGTCAGCCATTATGGTGGGGCTTTAGGTTGTCTCAATGTCGTCCCCTGGTTATTTTTCTTGTGATAAATATTGGGTTATCCTCACATTGTTGTCGCATACATTCTTCGAGTTGGAATACTTTATATTGTACCTGTTTGGGGATGTCAGTCCTCTGTTGTGATGATTGACTGTCATTGTCTTTAAGCCCTTGTGAAGGTTATGACGTTAACTTCTAACATGTGTTTCTTCTCCCACCTAACTAATGTTGTTTCTTAACTATGCTTCAAAGCTTTATGTATTTGTTAGGTTCTGGATAGGTAAACTCATAGTATTATGGGTTCATCTTAGATGTTATGGTACTTCATTTTCAAGTAAACAGGAGAAGTCACAATGCCAATTGTTGTAGCGAATAACCTTCTCAAAATGCACTTGTAGGTCGGAACTCATATAATGTGATAACTTTTAATTCTTTAGTTTTGGCTTTTAAAAGAGTTAGGTGTACATGATATCACATGATCTTCCTCCGCCAATTAGGATTCTTAAAAAGTCAAAATTGTCCACGGTGGACGTTATAACTAGAGGAAAATCTCATTTGGAATCCTGCCTACCTTTTTGCTATCTTTGAATTTGAGGATATGTCTTTCTGGCTTTTCTTCGGAAGTGGTTTCCTCTTTCTTGTTAACTGTTATCACCTTGATGTTCTTTATCTTGATCATTCTCTTATATGGGGTCTTTGAACGGGGAAAACCTCTAGTGATGAAAGTGACAAAGTTATATCCTCTCATGACATAGATTATGAAATTGTGTTTCCCTCTTTAGTCCTTGTCTTCATTGTCACTTTTATCTTTTCCTCATCTGACCTTTGTCATTGTCGTTATCGTCTTCTTCAATGCGTATTTTCTCGACTAGGGGATCACTTCTTTCATGGTGATTCATCTCACCTCTATCGTCCTCCCAAGTGTACCATTCTTACCTTCCTTTCTTTATCGGGTATTCAATGGCACCCTTCATGTGTATGCATTAATTCGTGTTATGCCCGTGGCTCTTATCAATAATTTTTTTGGAGAGAAAATTTCTTAAATGCTTTAATGGAATCAGCATACATGTTATTAAAAGAACTAGACAATTAACCATAAGTATACTCATTTTTATAATCAGAATTATATACCTTTGAAGTTCCACTTTTCTTTTGTGCCATCAAGCAAAAGTTAGCACACTCGTCATCTGAACTTGAGTAGGATTAGAGGAGAAACTCTTAACCTCTTCTTCCCACGCGATGTAAGCTCTACGACCTCTGGAAGATTTTCCCTTTGTCTTGTAGAAAGTCTTATCTTTTCTTTTATGATGTTTGGTGAGACATGGACATGTTGTCCTATAGTGTTCTAATTTACCACATTCGTAACACGTAATCTCATTGTCTTCTTTCTTGTGATCCTTTTTAAGTGGATGAGTATTTCTAAAATTCACTAGATCTTTGTCAGTATGCTTGAGCTTGTTTCTCTTAAGATGTCTATTGTAGTGTCTGAAGAATAAACCCATTTCTTCCTTTTCAGAAACTTATTCATCAGAGTTGTCACTTTCTTCCTTTGAATTTGTCACTTTTAAGGATGAAGCTTTCAAATAAAGGTATTGTTTCTCTTCTTTCCCTTTCTCTTTCTTCTTCGACCTTACTTTGTTATCGGCGAGTTGTTTCAGTTCATTCTCATGCTCGGCTAACTTCCCAAATAGTTTTGCAAAACCCAAAGTATTAAGATCGTTTGCTTCTTTTATTGGGGTGACTTTTGGTTGCCACTCTCTGCACATGAATCTAAATTATTTTGTTAGTAAAATCTTTGTTAGAAAAGGTTTTATCTAACTCTCGCAGTTTGTTGATTAAATTGAGGAGTCTAGCTTGCATGGAATCCACAGATTCTCCGGGTTCCATATGAAATAGAACAAAATCCTCTATAAACATATTGATTTTAGAATCCTTGATGTCCTCCGCTCCCTCATCGATAATTTGGAGAGCATCTCACATACTTTTAGCACTCGTATAATGTGAAATCGAATAGAACGCTTTAGCATTTAATGTTAAAATAATTATGTTCCTCACTTTCAAATCATATGAAGCATTTTTGGTTTCATCATCAGTCCAATCTTTTTGATGTTTAACAACGTCGTTATTGCCCTTGGTAATATATGGTCCCTCGGTGACGGCACACCATAGATTTTTGTCAATCGATAACAAGTTTACATACATGATCAATTTCCAATATGTATAATTTTTGCCTTTGAAAACTGGTGCTCTATTATACGCTCCCTTAGGATCGTTATCTTCTAACATATCATAAACTTTTGGATGTCAATTAGACACAATCAAAAGACCAACTCTTTTTCCAAAATAATAGTGTTTGCAAAAATGAGTTGCAAGAGGAAGGTTTTAAACGAAAATGGAAATTATACAATTGATTATGATCAAGTTAACATAGCTTATTTCACAAATATCCAAGATTATAAACAATGAAACGATAGGTATGAATCGGTTCAATTTGTGTAGTCACAAGAAGTTTACACAATTGATTCAATATACGGAGTCCTAAATTCAATCAGTTTTTTAGATTTATCAATCACAATACTAGCTTTACTAGTTGTCTAATTCCAATAAAACCCAAGCTTTACATAATTAATCGCTATCAATAACAAAATGATATAATACGAAGTAATTGAAAAACACGGCATGCAATCACTACGAATATAAATATAAGAGTAGAGTTAGAGAGATGACACTGAGATTTATAGTGCTTCGGCGTTCACCCCCGTTTGGCCTACGTGCACTCTTCAATGGTTTCCTAGTGAAACCTGCATAGTTCCTTGTCATTTGACAAATATTCTCAAGACTTTATACAATCACCAATCCACAATTACAACTGAGACAATAAATATCCTAATTTGGATCTTGACTTGTATACAACAAACTCGCCAAACTCTTTTACGTAATGTTTACTCGAATACGTTTCTTGAACCTTCAAATAACATCAATTATGCTTTAAACTTTTGTGTGTAGTTGTCAACCCCTTGATCCTACTGATTCCTTAAGTGGTGAAATTGTACAAAGATCTGAGAAGAACTTCTCCTTATCTATAGCCTTCCACACAATTACTACTAAGGAAATGCTGGAGAGAGAAAACCTACTTTTTTTCAATGGAATTTGCCACCACCATTAACAATCCCTCGTTCTTTCTAACAACCTAAAAACTAAACAAGATATAAAAGAACTATTAGTTTCAAGTACACGACTCCTTCAATCAAACTTGT